GACCTCTACTTCCTTTCTAGGACCTCTACTTACTTTCTAAGTCTCCTCACCTGATTTTTCAGGATTTGGGTTTCTTAGCTGGCGTGTGGCACCGCTATCAAGTCAGTATGCATATCCATGAGTGTGTGTGGGTGAAGCCCTTTTGGTGTCAAAGGGAACCTATCGGTTTTTCAGCAAGGGGGCACAGGCCATCATGGATACACAGAACGAAGCTGTTCCACGATGGGGGAAGCGGAGATTGATCACCTCCGTGTACCTGCTGAAGTTTGTAGCGTTTGGTAACGATGTTTTCCTCTAGATGTCAGGCTGGTTTGGTAACGCCAGGTCTGCATTTTTCACTTAGGCTCCGTCAGGGCTTCGGGCGTTCAATTCAGCACGCAATATTCCGAGTGCGTCTCTCCTTCCATTAGTAGTCCGCAGCGGATAAGAGAAGGCTGAACGCCAAGAGCAGGCTAGTTCTTCAAGGCCCATTGGGGCCTGTCCCCACCTTAAGTGCACACACAGTGTGTACACAAACTAGGCTAGGTGCTCCTAGGTCCGTCAAAGAGGTTCGGCTTCATTTGTCGGCCCCATTTGGTTTCACTTTTCATCTCTTCCCCAGCACACACTTTCTTTTCCTGCTTCTTTTCATTTCTTTTCTGTCTTCATGTCTTGTCACCTCATTCCTTTCTTTCTTTTTCGCACACCTCGGTCCGGCCCTTTGCGCGCACCTGCACTCGTACACGAAACCCAGGTCTGAGGTCGCCCAGGTTGTTATAACGAGGCACGGCTTTTCTGGTTGTTCCTTTTCTCCGCAACCACATACACTGTCCTGTCTTGTCTTCCTCTCAAGTCTTCATCTGTTGTCCTCTGCGCGTGCACACCTACACCTTAGTCTGGGCCCTAGTTCTAGATTTTTGGCCCCTCTAAGCGGGGCACGTGTGTGTGTGTGTGAAACCCTTGGGAGTCAAAGGGAACCTATCGGGTTTTTCAGCAGGGGGCACAGGCTCATCATGGATACCTGTGCCAACAAGCTGTTCCACGATGGGAGAAGCAGACTGATCACCTCCGTGTACCTGCTGAAGTTTGTAGCGTTTGGTAACTATGTTCTCCTCTAGATGTCAGGCTGGCTTGGTAACGCCAGGTCTGCAGACAATCGCATCGCTCGCTCGTCTTCATAAACTTGGAGCTTTCCTTTGATGACTTGGAGTTTCTTTTGATGACTTGGAGCTTTCAGGGATAGTCCGACCGCCTTAAATACTACCTGTTTTTTCCCAGGCATTTGTTCATTTAGGCTTCGTCAGGGCTTGGGGTGATCAATTCAGTACACAATATCCCGAGTGTGCGTGTTGGCTTGATATGATTTGCTTTGTACAACTGTCAGAACATGAAGCGAGAAAGGAGTGTGAAATCCATATCCGCCGACCCCGGCCTATAGCCAAAGCCTAGGCGGGGAGGCGCCTGGGACACCGCAGGGTGAAGCAGTTGGCCAAGCCTTGCAGAACCCTTCCAAGCACTTCCAAAGGCATGTGTGCAGGTGCATTGCGGTTGGCCGCGGCCTCTCGGTGGCCTGTCCGAGGCCTGCCTCTCCTCTTCTTATGGGCTTTTCCGAAAGCAACGTTAGACACCCACGGGCCCCGCCCTCAAAGGCTTCTCGGCAGCCGGCAGGCCTGCCCCGGCCTCTCTGTGGCCTGTCCGAAGCCTGCCTCTTCTCTTCACCCACGGGCCCCGCCCGCAAACGTTTCTGCAGGCCGCAGCTTGGCCCACAAAGCTTTTTCTATGGGCTTCCGAAGGCAACGTTAGACACCCACGGGCCCCGCCCTCAAACGCTTCTCGGCAGCCGGGCCCCGCCCGCAAACGTTTCTGCAGGCCGCAGCTTGGCCCACAAAGCTTTTTCTATGGGCTTCCGAAGGCAACGACGCGGCCTCTCTGTGGCCTGTCCGAAGCCTTTTTGAGGACGTCTCGTACGAAACACTCGTTTTGGAGACTTGACGCGCAACCCTCTGCGGAGATCGTGCGTGTCGAGTGCGCGAAATGCAAGCGAGATTGCGATTTGTCCCATGCGCGCGCAACCCTCTGCGGAGATCGTGCGTGTCGAGTGCGCGAAATGCAAGCGAGAGTGCGATTTGTCCGGTGCCCGCGCAACCCTCTGCGGAGATCGTGCGCGTCGAGCGCGCGAAATGCAGAACCATCCGCTTTGGGCGTGCCTAAGCAGCTTTGCACAAAATGTGTCTACCATTGGCGTGCTACTGTGCGGACCGCCATACTGAGCCCTCTTATTTTTCTGAGGGGTCCTGCTCAGCATGGCACTCAAGTTCAAAGGTTAAGACATGTTCCTGGAAAACATTTCGAACAGGACAGGATTTCGAGCCTTGGTCCTTGGTTCTTAACCTACTTCAGCATCGGTCCCAGGGACAGACTCCAAGTTACCCATCCGCAGTAGGATTCCTCCTGAAAAGGGGTCGGCGGCACGCGGGCGAAGCCGTTACAATGACATAGATGATCGTGAACTTTCTGACAAACGATAGACGGCAAACCTCATGAAGGAAGCCAAGCAGTACCAGCTCAGTCGAGTGCTTTCACCACCTCACTCTCAGGAAAGCGATGACACTGCGGAGATTTCTTCTCCCCTGCAGCGCCACAAAAGAGATCCAAGATAGAACAAGATGCAAGGCGCCTTTGATAGAGTGTCCTTCAAAGAGTTCTCATTAAAGGGGCCAGTACTTTCTTGTTTTGGGCTTCTTCCAAAAGCAGATTCGGTCTGGTTTGTTCCTGTTCTACAAAAAGTCTCGACATGTTGAGACTGGATGTCAGGATGTCTGTCACCAATGCGCTGATGACCCGATGGTGCCTGGCTCTACACCTTGGGGGCGGCTGGAAGACTCCTCTTGAGGGTTTTTGGCACCACCGTGCCTCACCCACAGTGTGCCACACGGTAAGAAACCTTTATGGAGTTGCCAAAGTTGGGGTGATCTCGATTGGATGGTGCCAAAAACACGTGCAAAATACTGAGGTACCTCTATTCACTACAGGTTCATCGACAGTTGTAGGATGTTTTAATGTTGTGACTAAAAAAACACACTGAAAGCACAAAATTGGAACAAGTTCTACAAACTGCAAAATGGAAACTGAAACAAAGATTCAAAAATGCAAATTCGCTCTTAATGCTCAAAGGCTGTAGCCACGCTTCGGGACAAATAGCTTCTCGTAATCACCACGGAGATTGCCTTCAACCACCAGAAAGTGGTTTAAGTGATTTCAAGCTGCTCAAAAACAATGCTGCCTGCTACGAAGATCATGTCAGCCAAGCTGAAAGGACAAAACTCCATCACCTCAGCTGGGACGCCTTCGGGGCCTTCCCGGCCTTTCCCAAGCTTTTTTCGAAGCCTACAAATAAAGCCAAAGGCAAAAATGCAAAGAACCCTGCAAGTTGGCATTCTGCGGAATCTCGGGCGTTGGCCAAATACACCTCTCGGTCCAGGCCATTCGGCCCTGCGAACCAATCCAAGTATGCCACAAGGTTCGGATGCCTTAAGGTCCGTCTGCGAACTCAAACTTCAAGGACAGAGGCACCAGATCTTAGGCACCTGTCCAGCAAAGGACCCGCAGAGACGAATCAATTTCATCGCTCACGAATAACTGCAGCTTCTTCTGTCACTTGTCCACTTGAGCCCCACACCCCTGTGACTGTGGGTCTTGTACCTACCGAAAAAAAAGTAAAAGACTGCAAGGTGGAAAACTCGCAACTTCTGCGATGTAGGGCATGCAGTGTCACGTGAACCTCAACTAAACATCCTTTACAACTCAGTTTTGAAATCAGTAAAGAAAGCAGGTCAAGCAAGGAGCAAATGCCAGAAAAAAGGTGGAAATGGTATTCCCCGGTTTAAGAGTTTTGATCCCGCAAACAAAAGTCAACGAGATTTACATTCACAGGCCATAAGCATTGATTGTTCGGCACGGCCCGGAAATCCAGGCTGGGGCTGTGCGACTGCTCTAATGTGCAGGCGTATGGCATCGGGGATGCCAAACGTTTCTTATATATATATACACGCAAATATACACATGTGGACCATATGGATTGAACAAATGAAAAAAAGGCCTAACAAGTGCATCGCTACTCGGAACAAGAGCATTACTACTAGTAACAAGAAGCTACTGGTCATTAAAGCTACTAGTAGTAATGCCGTTGTTACGAGTAGCGATGCCCTTGTTACTAGTAGCTTCTTATATAAGGCCTTATTTGGACCATATGGATCAAAGAGATGAAAAAGGCCTTATTAAAGGAGCCCTTACAGCTTGCTACACGGATGAAGGTGCATCGCTGCCTCTTCTGCATACTTGGCGCGGCAACGGAAGACAGTGGAAATCTGGCGTTCGGTCAAGTGCTGTCATCCACTTCTTTGCTTCTCTTCATTGTACACAATGGTGGCTTGCTCTTTGATCTCTTGTAAGGCAAAAGTAATCTTGTCCCTGAACCAAATACGCAAGTGCAACAAAACACCTGCATGGAGTCAACAGACCATATACTTAAACACTGAAACGGTTTGTGCCTCAAATCTGAAGAGTCAAACGCCCAACCTCCTGCTGTATTTGGCGTTGCACGCCAGCATTGATGCTACGCATATGCTTGAGAGCTACCTGAGAAGTCCCACAAAATCGCTCAAATCGCCACTCCAGTTTGGAGAAACCTGATAAAGCTAGCATCTAAGCTAGCAGCTAGATCATAGTTGAAACAGCAACTGCACTTCTTTGGGTATGGAGAGCCAAACTTCTTGACTTCTTGACTTTGCCTGAAGAGTATTGGCTTGCTTCCCGCCTGACGTGCCTGAGCAAATCCACCATGCAGAATCTCGAAGGCCTGCAACATGATCCAAATGAAAGAGCGAGGCGAGAACGAGGAAAAAGGTGATGGAAAGAGCAGAAAGAGATCTCAGCTTTTGCGGTGAATCATTCATCCAACTGTATCTCAAACCATCAAAAAGCGAGATCAAAGAGCGTCTCTAGCCAAGAAAAATTAAAGTAGAGAAACTCATCAGGAAGATTGATTCAAATGCTCACAACATCCCAAGATCCTAAAAGTGCTGCAAGAGTCAGAAAGAAAAACTCCTGTTGGTGGACCTTGGCCTGCTTTGTTTCTGAAAAGGCTCCAGACGGAATATGTTCTTTGGTGAATCTATATTGTTTCTTTAAATTATATATATATACAGTATATATATGGATGAAGAATTTGGGTGGAAAGCCATTCTTCAACCTGGAGCTAATCTTCATCCAAGCTGCTGCAGAGTCTGGAGCTGCCCGGCCAAAGTAGACTTCGCCTCGGCTCGGAGAACCAAGTCAAGTCAAGGCGTTTTGCACAATAAGAATATGTGTGAACATGTTTCAAGCAGAAACAAACAGTACGGAAGTTGTTTGATGCAATGCAAACAATATAGTCCAACATTCAGGTCTCTCTTAGCTACCGACCAGTGGCACCGCACGAAAGCTGTCGGCCCTGGGCATAGCCTGGCAGTGCACAAATAAATGCTCACAATCAAGAACAATTCGATGGCCAACAGTGCTGAACTATGTCAAAGCCGATCAAGTTGACTGGCCTTCTTGATGTTTCAGGTCATGTTGTTTGCGAGGTGGAAAGTGCGGCAAGGAACTCTGGAAGAAGATGCAACTTTGACATGTGTCCATTGCAGGCAAAGCACAAGCCAACTTGACTAAGCACTACTCTAAAGCCCAATAGAACCTTCCACACGTCCCCAATGTTGTATATCTAGAGGTGACAAACAGCATTCTCAGCGAATGGCCCTTTGCGGACCTACCTCGATTTCCCAGACGTCGGCCAGTCTGAAAGCAGCGGCACGCTGCAAGGAGCTCCGACTGCATTTCGGACTAAGGATGTGGAAGCTCAAATTCTGAAAACTTTGCAGCTACTAAAAAAGGATCCCACAACTTGCAGAGAGCACAAGGGACGAATATCAAAGGGCGTGTCACTCGGCTCTTACCCTTAAACAATGCAGCGCACAAAAGCAATCAAAGAGGTGCCTTTGAGAGCGCAGTTTCGGGGCGTGCCATGTGCAGCCATTGCAGTGTCAGCAAGAAAACACTCAATGTCTTTCTCCGTCACACGCTGTGTGCGTGCCTTTGAAAATCAAAAAATGATAATTGATTAAATGTTCATATACTGTATATATATATATATATATGTGTGTGTGTGTTTTATTGCTATATATATACTGTATAACGGTGTTGCCTTCATCAAAGGTACCTAATTCAAGTTTCTATTGGTTCACTGGTGTCGCTTCGAGCTCAAAAACTGCAATCGAACAATCTACCAGGTGATGCTGGGCAGCCTGTTTAAGTCTTACTGGACTCAGTACGCTTGTAATGGATTGCAAAAATGCCAAAATTGACACCAATGCAAAAACTGAACAAAATCGTGCAAGCCCAAGGTTGAACTGTCAAACTCTTTTGGCAGTCAAGAAAAGGAAATAGATTCTTGCAGGATGGTGTTGCTGGTGAACCCCTTAATTTATAGGTAAGGACTGTCTTCAGAGGCACCACTGTAACGGTGCTCCCTGTAATCTAAGGAGCCACCGCAGAACAAGTTGGCATTGGCATTGATTCTCAAGGTAATGAGGACAACTGCTAAGCACCGAGATTGTCCATATCAACTATGTATACTTATAGCCAACTCTGGACGAGCAGCTTCTACTGTCCGTGGCTTTGTGCAAGCCGAGTTAAAAGTCTTGCTGTGGTTCATCTCTGTCGAACTCAAGCATGCGCATTGACCTGGAAGGAATGCTGCTCACAGTGTGGACGGAAGTAACAAAGGCCCGTCTTTCAGAGCACATATATTTTCGCAGCAAGAACCGGGAAGGTGTGAGTACGTGTCTTGAGCAGCTGTGCTAGCGAAACAATATGGAGCTCATGACACACTGAGTTCTTTCCTCGTGACACATCAACTCGCCAGAATACTCAAGGATTCGCTACACAAGAAAGAAGAACAGTAATGTCAAGGAACTCAATATCTCACCACCCCACTGAAAGCATCCGGCCTGGGACCCCCCAAAGCTCTACGGCATCTGCAACGCCTACAAGCTCCAGTGCCAGTGGCGTAGCCGGCTCCACAGAACACGCCAGGCAAGGTGAGGAACTCGATCACGACAGACCAGAACTTTTTGCCCTCAAAAGATCATGAGGACTGAACACCAACCTAATAGCGATGGC